GCCACAGTGAATGCTGAAATTCTAAATCTTGCAATGTCAGATTTGTCAATACTGAGTATAGGCAAATTACTAATACAACTTGTAATGTAAGCATGAGTTCCTTTCTGCTTTGTCAAGCTGAAAAAGGTTTAGAAAAGAATGAGTAGTTCTTAGTGAATCACGATGTAATAATTGAATACACTAGAATGTTTAGGGGTTGTATTTGGGGTTATATTCCCTGAAGATACCATCTGTTCAGGAGTTTTGCTCCAGCATCTCTGTTTAGAAGTGCAAGATGAGCAGTAGCTTTTAAGACCAGAAAAAAAAAATAAATCTTGAGAGTAACAGCTAATGCCAAATTTAAATGATGATGTCTGAAATATTAATACCATACCAACAGGAAAAAAATGGAGAACCCGAACTTTGATATATATTGATTTGTATCATAATACAGAACAAATAAAAAGTGATGTAGAGGGAGGGGATAATTGGGGTACGTTGATTAAGATGGTACTGCTGCCAGCTGTGAGACTATGTGTAAGAGTTAGGACTTGCCTGTCCTAGTTATTATGAGCAACTGACTGGGCTGAACCCTGTGAAACCCCTTGTCTTTCCTCTTTCCTTCATCTGCTTTCTCTAGTGGTAGTACAGAATCTGTCAGACTAAAGATTGATAATATCAAGCAGAAAAAGGAAGGTTACTATGTGCTCAAAGAAAGCCCCAAAAGAAAGACTTTTGCGCCAAGTTGCTGTTCTGTTACCTCCCTTCTGTTACCTTCACTCTCTATGGGAGAAGGTACTTAATTACCCCAAGAATGAAAACTCTTGTGGGGTGAGGATAGAAAACAATTGGCTTGTTCCAAATTCCTCTTTTTGCCTACTGCCTTGAGACTTGCACAGGTCACTCCAACTTCACCAATGCTGATCTTGCAAGTGAAAGCAGCCAGTCTGCATCACAGTACATGACCATCAAGAGTCTTGGATATAAATTATTTACTATTTCTTTTTCCTTGTAAGAAGGCTTGTTAAAAGTAGCAGAAATAGCATTTATGAAGAATGTCAAGTACATTCTGAGGCCCTTAGTGAGGAAATAAGTGCTAGTAACTTTTGCAACATTATTACGGTAGGTGTATGTCATGCCAGCTGATAACCACAAGGGCAGTGGAGACAAGGAGAGAGAAGAAATTAAAATATGGGCACATGGAGGAGAGCGCCCGCATCTGCCACACTGGCTCGGTATGTTTGGTTTGACAACTCACATCGTCTGTTGGTGCTTGCTGGTGATTTTTAAATAAGGAAGCTGTGGTATGCAGTGGAAGTATAAAAAAAATTACACTGACAACTCTGCTACCCATAAAAATATTTAATCTAGAGAAGCTGCATCCTCAGGGGGGTTTCAGGTGGACTACACCTGTTTCTACCAGATGGTACTGTCAGATGAATCTGTGTGTTTCTGAGGTTGCTCTCCCTGGTGTAATGTAAATAAGACACACAGACAACCATGGAATGCCCTAAAAATTCAAGTTTTACTTGACTTTTAAATAACCTGGACACAAGTTTTGACAGCCATCTATCAAACTCAATTTAAAACAAAGCACACAGTTGCTTCATGAATATTTAACTTAAAGTACATAGAGTACATACATCACATTGATATGCTTATTTATGCTGTTTTAAAACATCTTTCTAGAGAGCTTTGAATTAAACAGACTTTTCCAAAACAAAATATGCTATCCAGTTCAACATTCAACTTACAAAGATGATTTGGCAACTTAAGTGTGGTTTAGAATATGAACTGCAGGTGAGCGGCATTGACAAAGCACTGGAGAAAAGGACAGGTGAAGAAAACAGTTAAGCAAGGAGACCAATCTGGAATCTAGAAGAACGCTTTTGTAGTGCGGATGGCTAGCCCTCTCAATTGTATAAAATGCTTCTTTTGCTAAGAAAGAGGTTCATCTCTATAGCTGGTTGTTACTAACTAACAAGTAAGATGCGTAACTTACCAAGTCATAGTACTTACAGATGCCTCGGGAGAGGTAAATGCTGAGGCACAAAGTTAGGCTGCTGGCCTGAGATCCTCGCTTCTGCCAAGGGGAAGTAGAGCTACGAAGGGAGCGTCTCGTCTTGCTCCTCTGCCCCTTCCGGACAGGCCTGTGTAAGAGCCGGCGAGGGAAGGGCTGCCCGAGCTGGTTCCGTGCCCAGCGAGCCCTGCAGCCCGCTGTGGCCTGCGGCTGTGGCCTCGTAGGTGCTTCCCGTGACTGATTTATTTGAGATCTCTTACACAAAACTGAAGAACTCACAATAGGACCTGCTTTTCCTCCAAAGACCCAGGAAAAGAAGCTCAAAGGCAAAGGAGGTACGTGTATATGGAGTAACTTTCCTCTCTGCTGCACTAGCTGGTAGTTAGGTCCTTGTCCAAATCTTGCCTTGTTCTCACATGAGCATGCAAAGCATTTAGTAAACTTGGTCTTTTTTGTACTGAGACAAAATACTATTGATCCAGGCTGATCACTAGACTTGTTAAAACCTTACACAGTCTCATTGGGAGCAAGACTACTAATTCAAATCCAGGGCTCTCTGCAAGTTTCTTTTAAAACAGAAAACACAAAACAAAGAACACTCAAAAAGGTTGGCTTGACTAGGAAAATTCCACTTTGCTACCAATTTAGAACTGAAAATATGGATACTAGTCTAGCCATAAAAGTCTGTTTTCTGGTATAGTGAAGAAAGGAAAATACCACACATCTTACTGATGGTATCCACTGAAAATATCCAGAAGCCCATAGGCAGGTGACAGCATAAAGGGCGATGTAGGGTCTTACAGGTAACTTCCTTCCTGATCAATAACATTTGAGGATTGACAAGATATTGACAGCATGTATAGATACCAAATCATAAGGATGCAAGTAATCCTAAAGTAGTAGATGTGCTCTACTTGCCTGTGGCTGAAGTAAGGAGACCAGAATAGTGGCACTAATTTAGAAAGAAACAAATTACAAGCAAATTTATAAAGCTCCAAAGCTTGGGACAGCTTCCTGAACAAATAAGGTATGGCTTTGATTCAGGGTACCTTAACCAGTTCTTGTGTGGTCAGTCATAATTTTAGTATTCTTGGAAGTATTCCAAAGAATTGTGGGGATAATGATTAAGACCAGAATTTTAACCACAGCGGGTCGTGGATTTTTTTTTTTTTTAAAGCCAATGCCAGTGAGAATAATGTTCTAGGTCACATCGCTGTAAACTGGAACAATGACAATAACACTATTCAATTTAAAGTCTGGGCTACTTTTTTTTTAAAAAAAAAAAAAAAAAAGACTCTGCAAGCAAACAGTTGGAGCAAATACTTTTGAGTCAAACCTGACAATGTCTGCAGGTGGTGTCTGTAGTTACTGAGAAAGCTTTGAAAAACATCAACTGAATTTGTAGAACAGACAGGTTCAAAGTCCTTCTTTATCTTAGAATTGTTTGCTGAGATCAAAGGAGAAGCACTAGCTGATATATATGTCCAAAAAAAAAATCCTTGTCAGGTGAATCTGCCTTCCCTGGAAGGCTGCAGCATCTCTCAATCTGCAGACTAGCCCATATTGTCATAGGAATATACAAAAGATACCGTTACTACCCTGGCTAGTGGCAAGATCTGACCACTTCAGATCTTTACAGAAAATAAAGACTCTAAAGATGAAGTGGAAAATAACCCCCATTACACCGAGAACACATGAAATAAACAACTGTTTCTATTTCTGTTCAAAACATTCCATACTCAGTTTGGGGATTACACTCAGCAAAGTTACCTTCCTAAGGAAAAGGTTTTGCTACGCTCGTTAATAAGCTGGCAAAGCCAGGAGGGTGGGCTCCTCAGCACTGAGGACAAGGGGGAGACAGAGGAGTGACTTCAGCCATTTATAAAAAGAGAAAGGATAGGAGGAGATCTAGGTATCACGTCAGACACACACTGAAAGATAACCTGCTCAGTATAGAGGATCATTAAGATTTACTAGTCCTACCTTAACAAAGGAAAAAGAAATGCAGTTACCGCACCTGGAGGACAGCCTTTTTCATTTCATTACAGAAGAAGTGGCTCAGACAGAATAGAAGTTATCAGCACTGATTATTTAATAGGAAAAGAGATTAAGGCAGGCTTCACTGTCTAGTTTAGAAAAAGACTATTTGCAGCTCTTAAATCCTACGCTAAAAGTTTTGTTTAACAGATATTTAAGTGCTCTGCTAATTAGTGGTAGTACAGTGGATGGTCAGTACATATTCTTCAGATATTTCCAGTGTGGTTTACCATAGAGATGATAAATCTATTCTTACAGTAGGCAATGTTCAATTAAGTCCCTGCACACAAAAGGACATTCAAAACTGAGAACACTTAGAACTGTTAAGTGAAAGTAAGTCTGTGTAATCCCTGGAACTCTCTGCCACAGGGAGTTATGGAGCCCATTATTTCTGAGCTACAAAAGGGACTGAGACAACATTTGTATTAACAACATCAGCACATATTGTTGTGCTAGGCTAAAATAAACATTTTACGAGCTAGGAGTCCGTATGTTTCAGGGTGTAAGCTGATCCCCATTTAAGCTGAGAAGATGTTTCTTCTCAAGTCATACTGTATTGCACAATTGGCCAAAAATACAATTATTTTGCTTCCCCTGAAACATCTGGTCCTGATTATTTAAGTTAACAGTCATTTTTGGAAAAAGGCAATTCAGTTACACAGTAGACCATAAAGTCTGTTTTGTTGCAGCAATTTTTTGTTTCTTTTTTTGGAAATGTAACTGCTGGTCACTCAGTTTTACCAAGACTTTTCTTTTTGGTTGTCTAATCAGGCAGCTTCTCCTCAGTCAGTCACACCATTAGAGCAGTCTAAGCAGAAATTGCATTACTTGCCCTTCCCAGCAAGCAGGCTGCATTTCTGAAAGTTCTGAGGGTACAGATATCACTCCAATTTCAGATCTTTTACTTGCACAAAAAAACCTTCTGTTTCCAAAGAATAAAATCCATTCACCATCTTCAGTTACAGTAGTCAAGTCTCCACTTTGAAGCGTGACACCTGTACAGTTTTTATTGTTTTAATGGTGGGTTTTCCATCAAGGTTATTAGTGGATAGCTGAGATTTCTCTTCTATTAGGCTCTCTTTAGATCCATTTCGTCTCTAAAGAAAACAAACGAAAATTTGTTGCTGAAAATGTACAGCAGAATATATCCTGTATTTCAACAACTGCTATTATGACAGCTTTAGACTAAGAATAGGACAATTCACTGATACCAGGAGTATGAAAGTACATTTGATCAAGTAAAACTACTTCTCTTGCCTTCTCCTACTCTCCCAGCTGCTACCCCTCTATGCTATCTGGACTTATATTCCATTTTTCAGGAAATACCAGGACTAATTATTTGGTATTTGGCCAAATACTGCAAACAAGTGTTCATTAGTATTAATGGCCACTGTTGTGAGGCATTCCGGGGGAAAGGGAAGTGTTTGTGGACACTGAACATTGTAGCATTAATTTCTTCCAGGACAATGAATTTATGCCGAGTAGAATTAGACAGTAATGAAAATAAGATTATGTGGTAAATTTTGAACAGGATTAAATACTGCAAGTTACTTATTTCTATAAAGCACACAAATGTGCGTAGGTTTAAGCACACCAACTTCCTACTCCCTTATAGAACAACTCCCTAGAAAAATACCAAGGATAACTCATCTTTTTCAATTTCTATCATATGCAGGAATACAAATACCCTTGAACTTAATTCCTATCTGGAAACATTTAGTGTGTTTGCTGGCCTTAAAGTGGAAAAAAACCCCCAAACCCAGAAAACTCTTTTGTTTTAAAGTTGTTCAAATTGATGTTACCCTAACTGGTTTCCTGATAAAATCATGTCCTGATAAAGTCAGACATGATTTCCTGGTTAAGTTTCCACACTGCAGTTATCACTAAAGGTTTTCATACACTCACTTGCCAGATTAGCAGACATGATGGGTAAGAATAAATTGTGTGTCATATTTTGATTTCAGATTTGAAACTACAACACTTGCATTTCTAAATGACAATCTAGCTGTGTTGGTAAAGACCTGCCTTGCTGAAAACCCATATACAGTCCCTTAGGAGGACATTTAAGAATCCTATCTGTTTTTATTGAATGTCTTATTACACAGATATGCCCTCCCATAATAAAAATCAAAATCAAATAAAAAGGGTCTAGAAAGAAGCAAAATTTAGGATTGTATCTGTGCAAGTTCACCTGAATTTCTAATAAATATTGGTAAAATAACAGAACTTTTAAAAAGTACCTGGGAATCCCCTAGCATTGCTGGAGGAAAAGGAAAAAAAAAACCACACTAAACTCCAGGTAAAACAGCAATTGTTTGTCAAAAGAGAAGCAGTTTGTGCCTTCCTAAGGATGTGGAAGCTAGACAGAAATCTGTCTGGAATTTCCCTTGTTTGCACTGGTTTGCCTTTAGCACGCTCTTATAACACAAGTACAGGTGCTTGCTTTTGGAGTATCATTTCCTTCTCATGTTTTGAGCTTGAGAGTGTATAATGACTCCCTATCAAAGCCCTGTTACCATAATTTATGATAAAAGCCAGTAATAAAGACAAGATTTGACCATTTTATTTCAAAAAGCTGAAAAGAATAACTATTCAGCATTGGAGAAAAGGAACAGTGTTTCAAGCCTGAGCAGTCAAGCCCTAAGAAGCAGAGGGAAAATGATAATGGACTATCATTAGAACTATACACTAAGCTCATGTGCATATTTTAAGTAATTGTGACAGTAATTCTCCTCCTGTGAAAACAGGATAGCACATTAAGAAAGCACCCAACTTAGAAAAGGAAAGTGTCCCCCAAGAACAGAAGGATGTAGTCATGGGAGCTTATGCTCCAGAATTCATTATGTTTGGAAATGTAAACAAAGTAGTCAAACTGTAAAACGTGAAGTCACACAGCTTTTCTATTCACCAAAAGACAAGGTCTTAATCTAAATACAGCACTTGATGCATTCTCCCTCCAAAAAAGGAATACTTTAAGGCGTGCACACTTACTAACCTGCTGAGTCAATTGGATGATGGGACCTTTAGCATCTGAGGAACGTGTCACAGGCAATGGAGGCACCAGATCACTTTTTGCACTGGAATTACAAAATATTATTACAAAATGGGTGTCTCTGTAATGAAGTATACAGCAACAATACACACAGTCATATGAAACTGGCCCAGTTGGTTACACAAAGACACATCAAGTAATTAAAGATCTCAAAGGCAACTGACTACCTAAACCAAAACTATAAACATCTAAAAGCTGCTGAGGCCACTCTCAATATTCACTGGTGAGAGGCACCTCAGGACAATGCTCATCCCTTCCCTTCTTATGAGGCCTCTCTCCCCAGGGTAGAGAGAGGAGGTCATGTTTATGTGAGGCCTCATCCAAAATCACAAGGGTGTCCTATCTCCTTCAGAGTGCCAGCAGCTCACCTCTGGTGGGCAGCACACAAGAGGACAGGACATCTTCTCTCAAGGCAGAGGAATGCCTCCCTGCAAAGGCTTAACTTACCTCCCTGTACTTTGTGCTGGGGCACAGTACTGCTGCTCTGGGCATCACTTAGGTGGACGGGGCCAGCTTTCTCAGGCCTCAATATAACAGAGCATGGGGCTTGTTCTTCTGCACTCATAGATCATTTTTACTCTACTAACTGGTCTTCTAGGAAAGGCTAAGCCATCCATTGCTGAAGAGGTTTATTGGAGTTCTCACGAAACCCACTGCTGCAGATGAACAGTTTGACTCTAAGAGAATGCAGGTATTTGCAGAGTGACTCACAGAGCTTTCTCCACCTAGGCAACTTCAGGGCCGACCTCAGAGGAGTCCAGTTTTTCACCCTTTCTACAGAGTGGAGTCAAGCAAGTTTCCATGGCTCCATATAGACTATAAATGTTTTTGCACTGGAGTTATTTAGCTCTGAAGACTTACTGCTTACAGGGTTGCCTGAATCCTATGTCAGAAACAATCACATATATGCCACTTCTAATGTAAGCATGATCTCTGAAGAACATCTGTGACCTATTAAAACAATACACTGCTAATAATCACTTTCACATACTTCACTTCTGACAGAACAGATCTTTCTCCATCAGAGCACTGGGAGCGCCGATACTGACGGTAGCTTCGAGGGGAATGTGAATGTCTAATGCGAATTGGGTCACCTTGAGTCCTAAGTGAGAAACAAAATTCACAACAGTAGATTAATAAATTAGACTTTTGGCACAAAAAAAAAGGAAAAATGCAATTTCAGAGACACCCTCCCATTTCTTATTAGAACACAACAGATGGCTTCTTGCACTGTCTGAATATAAAAAAGTGATGATTTTCTTTGAGTTTGTGCTTACAAGTTAATACTTTAAAAGTGCAGAGGTCACTAAAATGAGCATATCTGTGTCTGAAAATGAAATTGTTTATTAAGGAATGTATTAAAATACACAGCTTTAATATCAGCCATTTTTTTTTGTTAGCGTTCTTTTGGAAGAACACTATAATATAAACAGATTCCATCTATCTCACAGCTGCTTGAACTACACATGGCATCCCAAATGGGCAATTATCATGGTAAAATAGATGTCCTCTCTGAAGCAAATAGCTATACTCTGGCAGCTGCCCATGACAAACCATGGAAAAGCAGTTGAGCAGGCAAAAACAACGGTCCTCAGGATTATCAAAATAATAATAAAAAAACTAAAAGGAAGTAGTTGTTTAAGAAAGGAATAGGCTTTGTACTTGTGTTCAGTTCTCCCTGATTGTGTACGGTCTATCATGTAGAACATATTGATGGGTGGCACAGGGAGATAGATAGACATACAGCAGGCTGATGAGTGAGTGGCACAGGGAGAGATGAGTGTGATTCTTTTTGTGTTTGGGAAGGGAAAAAATGTTTGGTTTAGCAACTCCTTAGCATCCTCACCCAAGTAATCTTTGATAAGTATCTTGACAAAATCTTATGGATTATGTGTAGCCCCCTCCTACTAGAGTAGGACAGACTTCACAGCAAGAAAAGAAAAGTGAGCTTTTATATTCATAAAGAAAAATCCTGAAAAACTCACTCTACTTTTGTGTATGGAATTTCTTTCAATTGCTCCTCGGACAGGCCAGATGGATCCACAAGTTCTTTCCTGGAAAAGATTAAGCAAAGTAAATAACAATACAGTAGCTAGCAACTGCATACCTTTTTTTTTTTTTTTTTTGAATTGTGTTAGATTGGAAAAATCTATTTAAACAAACTGTTTTCAGCCCTGAAGCTATCTTGACATCAAAACAGGAAACCTATTAAGAAATATGTCTAGCTTTACCTTGATTGCTTCAACTGCATGCCACATCCAATTCCATCTTTCTCTCACCTCTCTGCAACTTGATCTTGCTGCTTTATGACATACATGAATATTGTGAATACCGAACATTGACTATTTCTTGAAATAGCTTACCATCTCCTTATTTGGTAGCAGTATGCAAAGCAGAATAAGGGATTTCATCATTAAAAAAGAAGTATCAAAATCAGGACTTTCTGGAAGCCCCACAGAAATACATCTTTAAAACACTCTTTTTCTCTAACTAATGTACAACAGCCACCTGTATTCAGTGGTCTGAAGCATCTTCTACGCATAGCCAAGTAAACTAATTTACACCTCTAATTAATGCACTGTGACATCCAAACATATCAGAACATTATGCTTTATTGCCACAGTGCACAGCGTGCTCATAGGGCCAGCCAGACCCTGTGAGGACAGTACTTACTGGATATGTTTCCACAGTTGTTCTTTAGCTTGTACATCTGGGCTTCTCCTAGAAAGACCAAGGAAAACAACAAATACAAAACTGTGAAAAACCTATCAGAAGCATATTGCTGTTCCATAACAAATTCTCGTGGCACACACTGAGCTCAGAAACTACGGTAAGCATAAACCACTAGTGACTTCAATTTAAAATTTTGTTATATTGGTAAATGCATTAAATTGCATTGCTTTATTGCAACCAAAACGTCCTTTCTTGCACAGGAGGCTCTGAGGGATATCTCAATTTCTGTCCCATTACCCTTCAGCAAAAGTGTGAGCAAAATACTAAGGATGGAACAAGTTCTCACTGCAAGCCAAGGCTGTGCCTAGCCACTGCCCCAGCTGAGGACAACCTGCCTGGAAATTTCACCTTTACTTTACTTGCAAGTAAGGTTTCTGCTCAGTTCATTTACACCTTAGTTTTGACGTATCTAGGACAAACAACAACTGCACACACACTCAAACACACAAATATTTTAGCAAGTATTTCATTCATGGAAAAATTGCTAAGACGAAGTTGTAATTATTTTGTTGCAGACAAGAGATTTAGTAAAGAAATCCTGAATTACATGCCTCGTATCTTCCAACAAATTACAGAAAATACTGCGTCCTATCTGGATTGTCCTTTATTTTGTTTTTCTTGTTCCATTTCATTTCAGATGAATATGAAACCACTACTGTTGCTGAAGTTACAACTAGAAATCACCAAAGTCCATATAATTTAACAGATTAAATATATGTTTTACACAGTGGCAGGGACTAAATTGTATTAAGAGATCGAAACACTCTTAGCATTGGCATTATACAAATTCAGCATAGACAGCTAGCCTGCTCCACAAGGATGCATCAAAAGGATCAGCATGCCTCAATACTCCCACCAAAATCAGTTTCATCAACAGTTTTTTTAGTTTTTAAAAAATTAAAATACACAAAAAGGGTCTAAAAAGTCTAAGATCATTTTACATAATCCACAGATTTAAATGAAGATAGAACAGAATTTCACCAAGCACCTGTTAAACCAACTCTCCATTGCCCAGTGACAGAGCTGTATCCGAAACAATCCCAAACTGTTCTCTACCACTAATCATTTTTACCATGTTTTTGTTTCACCATTATGTGTTTGGCTTATGTCCAAGCTTTAGTCTGGAAATAATGTTCAGAGACATCTGTATTTGAGTAAACGTTTTACAGATGGCACAGAAGCACATTATCTAGAGACTGCTTTTTTTGCTTTTGGTTTTTGGGGTTTTGTTGTTGTTGTTTAGATTTCACAGGTGCAGAAGTACTGGAAGATCCTAGTTTAACGCAGTAAGAATAACAGAGAAAGACAAGAAGGCCAGAAACGTCTTTACACGTGTGATTCCCCAGCGGCACTAACAGGAGCCAGCGCGCCACCTCCTCAGGCTTCGCGCCGGCCGTGCAGGCCCCCCCGCGCAGCCACATTCCCAGGAAGCCCCGTCCCATGGAGACGCTCCTGCTGCCTGCTCCCACAGCCAGCTCCGCACCAGGGCGCCCGCAGACACCAGGGTGTCAGCTACAGCCACAAGCAGCTTGCAGGCTGACCTTTCACAGCGCGAAGAGGTTGTGTTGGCTTTGTGTGTTCACGTTAATTCTAACGTATTTCACTTACACTGATTCTCACTTCTCCTTTTTCCTTCTCTCTTCTTGCATTTACTTTTCTTTACTCTCCTTCATACATCAGTTCATATTATTCTTGACTGCCTGAGGCAGTAGCTTGGAATGCAGCGGTTTTTAAGAGCCCTTCACCCCTCAAAGCTGAATTGATCCCTGCTTCTGTGCACCCCCTGCTCACACACAACCCAGCAGCTGCAGACATCGCGTTCGCCCTGGGGCTGGGAAGATAGGCATCCTCTTCTGAGACGGAATAATCAGGCAGCAGGGAATGCAAAAGCTCATGGAAAATCCAGCTTCTCCAGGGAGGCTCTGCAATGCTCACAAGCCCTCGTTTGCCCGAGGAAGGGGAGCCCCAAGGTCACTCCCTAACCCAGGGTTGTCACAAAGCAGGGTATTGTGCACACCAACAACCCATCTAATTCGCGTGTTGCTTTTACTTAGTGAAACCCACCAACTCGGGATGAGGTCCCAAGTCTCCCAGTGTCACCAAACACAGGGCACAACCTCTCAGGCAGTAAGGAATACTGACTCAGAGCCATGTGGGAACAGAGCAGCTAAGCAAGAAGTCGTCTTCATCTCACCATTTCCTAGGAAGGTTGGCTCCTGCTTTCTGTGGCCAATTCTGGGTGTTTAATTCTGCAACTTCTCCCACCCTCTCCCTCCTCCTCTTCCTTCCACTCCTGCAGCTACATTAATAAGGGAATCATTGCTGAAAAATGCCAGTAAAACCATATACTGCATGTCATGAAAAAAAAAAAAAAAGAGGAGGAAAGGAGCTATGGAGCTATACACAATCATTGTTCAAAGTAAACTGTTTTTAGGAATTTGTGACTTGACATTATCTATCTTCCAGGAGTTTAAGAAGTGTTATGATATTGGGATAATGTCACAGCATTTTTTTTTGCATGAACTCCCTGCAAATGAATATCCAGAAACACACTAATGTGCCTTAATAAAAGCATTATTCCACCAAAAGCCTGACTGTGCTTCCTTCAAGGACAGTAGGAACACTAACACTTTAAGACAAAGAAAAGCTTATAAAAAAAAAAAAAAGCAGAGGCTTGTCAAGATGAAACATAGCTAATGTAAATACTGAATAAGAAATGCATGTGTAGTTCTCAACAACACATAACAAGGAGATCCTTCAATTAGATCTTTACTGCCAGATCACAGTCCCTCTTTCACACTCTTTTTTTTTCTTTTGGAACTATATCAGCATACAGAGTTTGGACAGATAATATATGTTCAGATTGCCCTATTGCAGCATGTGAATCAAATTTTGCACAGATAATAGCTTCTGGACAATTTGCAAGCTAATCGGATTCTCTAATGAGCAAGAAACCAAAAGGGAATTCACAGCAAGTGGTGAGCCTCCAGGGTTTCTTCTTGTTGTTATTTGCTTTTTACAAGCTCAAACAACCCTAGATGTTAATAAGGTCTACATTATTTTTTATGTCTGCATCTGCACCCTTATTAATAATTCAATTTGATTTCATGATTCACAAATGGTGAATTTAAATAGCCATGGAATTTTAACAACCATTCTTCTTAATTAAAAAAGCCCTTTGGCTATGCAGATGTTTTACTTGAGCTCTTGAAAATAAACCCCGTAGAACTAGAAATGGGAGCTTTCTTTTTCTTTTAGAGGAAAGGAAGGTCAATTTCTTGACAAATATTCTTATTCTTGAGACCAAGGAGAACTCCCCTTGATCTTGCATGCACAGACACACACACACACTACACTCATTATCAAATAAAGTAAATGCACTTTGCCAGACGTGGTAACAAATATTTCAACATTTACTTCAGGTTTCCAAAGGGAATCTCTATGTAAGCTGACAGCAATAAGTTACTTAATGGGAAAGACTTATCTGTATTACTAAAATGAATGTATTGTGTCAGTTATTAAATGTGTATGTTGAAGTGACCATATATATACATTTAAAAATAAAAGCAACCATGCCTGCACTCTAGGGATTCACTTGTTTCCCGTCTCTCCAACATGCATACCATCATTTAAGCAACCAACTGAGCTGAACTAAATTAAACACTCTCACAGCCTACTGCAGCTAGGGTTTACCCATCATGTTTGACTGGACTGCTCAGGTAAAAGCCTTGTAGCAAACTCTTTATTTTATTTTTTAAAATCACCTTTGAAGGAATACACATTATCCTTTTTTAACTCACACCTGCAAAAATTAAGTGAGGTGCACAAAAGTGAGACGTACATTCATCATTATCACAATATGGGAGAGAAGAGAAATGAGGAGTTACCCAAATGTTCAAAGTTTTCCTGCTTTCTTTGCTCTCTCTAGAATCTTGCCTTGTTAAAAACAACACTACATATCTATGCTTTTTGCTATCGGTAATTCCAAAAAATGTAGACCAGAATATCACTGCATGGGCTAATATTTTCTGAAGGACAGATAAAATGCATGTCTTAAGTCGTCAGCCACAAGAGGGAGCCTGTGATGCCCAAACACAAACTGATCTGGCACATGGAAGGAAAAAAAAAAAGCTATAAATTTCATCTAGCCATGCGCTCATAAACTGAGTGCATTTCCTAGTTTATAGCACTTTCTGCATACAGTGCAAAACTGTAAATCAATCTGTATATTTGTGCCTTCAATGCAAGTGAGTTTCAATCTTCCTGATTTTTAGTACTCTATCATTCTACAATTACACCTAATAATATTTGACTTTTGTGCAGTTGAGAGTGAGCAGGTTTGTCCAAAACTAGTAAAAGTAGAAATTGCAACATTTAGAATTTTAACAATAAATACTACTTCTCATAAAGGAAGTAAAACTGTAAGTTATGAAGGTGGAGATAAAAAATGGTTTCTAACAAGTTGGGTAGCTATGAGAACAGAACTCCAGTGGATTTTAATACAGGAAACATCAATGTGGGTTACAGTTTCAATAGGTAAGAATAAAATAGCCATACATTTAATATGGTGCACATTCCTAATATGCTTGCAGATGATTTTTCTCAGAAATGGGGTGAATAAATCTTTCCAATTGAGAATAAAGCATCTGGAGTATTGTGTCCAGTTGTGGGCCCCACAGTACAAGAGGGATGTGGAGCTGCCGGAGAGAGTCCAGCGCAGGGCTACAAGGATGATCAGGGGCCTGGAACATCTGCCCTGTGAGGAGAGGCTGAGGGAGCTGGGCCTGTTCAGGCTGGAGAAGAGAAGGCTGAGAGGGGACCTGATCAGTGTCTATAAGTACCTCAAGGGAGGGAGTGCAGAGGACGGTCATGGTCTCTTTTCAGTGGTGGCCACTGATAGGACTAGAGGAAATGGCCGGAAACTGATACACCAAAAATTCCATAGGAACTTAAGGAAAAATTTCTTAACAGTGAGGGTGACAGAGCACTGGAACAGGCTGCCCAGAGAGGTTGTGGAGTCTCCTTCTCTGGAGATCTTCAAAACCCGCCTGGATGCAGTCCTGTTCCACGTGCTCTAGGTGACCCTGCGTGTGCAGGGGGGTTGGACTAGATGATCTCTAGAGGTCCCTTCCAACCCTAAGCATTCTATGATTCTATGATTCTTAAACAAAACAAAAGCTATATCCACACAGTCTTCTGTGAGGCTCCTTCCTTCCTCCCCTCATGCTTCACTTAGAGGCTTATTGAGGTAGGGCAGTGAAAATTACTATTAGTAATTACCATTTAGCTACAATAACATTTCACTGATTAAATCAGGGATAATCATCCTTCCCTTATCAGGCTAAGCGTATTCTTTGTAGGAACAACTAAAAAAGGAGAAGAAACATTCACTTAATTTTTTTCAAGGCAGAGATTTCTGTCTGTCCATGGGCCGATAAAAGCAGGCATCCTTGCTCTCCCCTAACACCATGCATGCACATGAACGTCAGGAGATCCTGGGCACTTTGTCCTGCTTGGGAAATGCAGCAAAGCCTAAGTCCTTAAGGTGATTCAACGCTGACTCCTAGTATTTTGTAACAAATATTCTTTATTCTTTAAACTACACTAAAATGCTTACTAAGAGAAATAAAATTAGCAGTTCAAGGCATTACAGTTTGTGTTAGTCTTAACATGGGAGACAAAACAATTTAGAAGAAAAACAGCCATGTTAAATAATTATACTGGGTTACAGTGGTTATACGTTGTGACATAGGTTTCAGAGACAGACAACTTGTCTATTTTAGCAAGGCAATGTGGGGATGTGGTTTCAAAGACAGCACTCAGAGGAGTCCCACAGGCTTTGCCTGCTCTCACGGTGCCTCAGGGCTGCTCTCCCAGCACTCCTGAACACCCCACGCGGTACTGACACTGTGCGGGTGCTTCCTGGGGTGCCACATGAGGCTGGGAGCAGACACAGTCCCAAACGATGCGTCTCAAGGCCCCAGATGCAGCATGAAAAGCAATACAGCCATAATAAAAGCAGTATTTTCTTTCGTTTGAGAGAATTCATTTTAGAAACCGATAGTGGCTACCAGTAGGAATAGCACTGCCTAGCAACATGGCCCTATCATGGAAATCCTGGCATCAGGACATAATGAATCACTCAGTGCTGCTTACAAACGGTGATTCAACATGCAGACCTCAGTGGCTGCACTCCCCTGGAACAATGCTGCAGAGTTGCCGATTAAAGCAATGCATACGCATTCACAAAAATACCTGCACCTCACTCAAAACCAGGATGTCTTTGCAGGGATGCTGCACAGAGCCGGGGCATCGCTGTCCTCATTACAAAATTGAGGTTTGGTGAGCCACAAAAGAGCCCATACCTCATTCAAGGTAACGGCAGGGCATTACTGTTCAAATCTGTTGCAGAGCCTATGCCACGTTACTTGTACTCTGAAATTCAAACCACTAAAGCAAAGGAGTCAGGCCACAAGGGGATGAATCCGCCCATGTGAGAACATGTCCAAAACAGCCGAGAGGAATATCTACACTGAATACAGGAAAGAGTCTTCCTATTTTTTAACATGCTAGAGCAGCCTTGATTTTCAAGTTAAGGTGGACTAGTTTTACGTACGATCGAGATCTGTGCCTGGATCGCCGGTAGTTGGGATCCGCTTGGTTCTTCTCCTTCTGTCGCCGCAGCACGGCTTCCCACTGAGGGGCTGAGTCAACCATGTCGTTCTCCTGCCGTAACCTGCGAAACAAGCAGCAGGACTTCAGTAGTTCAGGGTCCCTGTTCCCAGACATTCTGAGGAAGGGATGGTTAGTTTTTCCCTTGCAGAATTCCTGATGCTATTATGCAGTATTTTAACTTTTCAACTTTTCGTCTTGCTGTATTTATAATGTCCATTAATGTTCCCAAAATATATTAATACATAACAAACTGTATTGAAAGTAATTCACAGATTTATTATTTAGCAACAGCTTAGGACAAAAATGAATCACTAAGCCAGTAAAAACAAGCCTACAACTTGAATTCAATTTGTCTTCTTGGCCCAAGCCAAATGGATGGAATTTCTTCCTTACTGTATTTAGCTTTTCAAGTTAACCTCACCTAAAGCAAACAGAAGACCATTCATTATAGTGATGCAAGGCTGCAACTATTTCCAAACTTGCTGCAGCATGGCCTTTGTGGGACTTTGGGGAACTCCCCAAGGATGTCCTGTCCAAGTTCCTGCTCCCACTGCCCCAGCCTGTGAAACGGCCCAAGGGACTGCATGGGCATCATACAAACTGGGCACGTTCAACAGCAGCCTGAGCTACTTCTCTAGCAACACAACTAGCCACAGCAAGCAGCGTGCTGCTACGTGGCCATTCGAGACCAAGCAGAAACCTCTCAGCTTTGAGGATGCAGCTGTGACTGCCATGGTGGGATGCAAAGCTGGAAAAAAGGGCTGTGTTTGGTCACAGCAGTGAATTCAAAATACAGCAAAAATTTAGAAATGACTCTGGAAAACATCAGTCTGGGCATGGCTGTCTGGTGTGACAGCGTGACTGACATACTGAGGAAACCAGAGAAGTGCAACAGGAACGGGAAGACTGACAGGTAAAACAAACAAACAGAGATAACTGAGTTACATTGGAGACCATATTCCCTAGGAAATGCAAAGCACATTAATGTCATTGCTCTTCACTAATTCTGTGCCTTTCTAGCAGAGTTGTGAACTGTATCAAGCTTAACTGGCTAAGCAGGCTGCTGCCATTCCTTTGATCACATCTTCTTTCACATGCGTAATGAATTTTGAGTTGATCCCCAACCACTGTAAACCCTCACAGCTCTACCAAATAGCACTGAGAACCTGCAGTACACCTTGTCATCAGGTTTGGATTTCCAAGCAAGCCTTTTTCAACCTGTAATCTGCTGCTGACGGAGATTAGCTTCCACCTACAGACCTAACACAAGCACTCACACAGCAACAAGTAATGAACTGTGATTTTCATCCTGAATAATCCCCCCAGGGAACAGCACCTAACACCTCAGCAGACAGCTGTGCTCCGAAGGAGGCGCTGGGAATAACCGGGAATTACCCGGTCCCAACAAAGGAGCTGCCCAGCACGGCGGAGCATGATGTCCGCGCGTCAGATTGGGGCGCTTGGAATTCTGCCTCTCCCGGAAAAGCACTGGGAATTACACCGCCCCGCCAGCCACGTGCTCTGTTAACCTGCTCTTGATGAATGACCTCGCACTAAAGCAGTGAACACATCACTGCTGCTCTGCTCTGGAACATTCCACTAGCGGAATCCTTTGGGGCCGTGAGGGAACCGAGTTGCGGCGATAACAGAAAAAGGCGCTTCCGCACAGCTAAAAGTCTCCCCATTCTAACAGCAAGGAAGGACAGAGGAAAAGAAGATGACTTCACAGAACATAATAGCTGGCAACAATACGTGAAGTTTATAGCAAATTTCAGCTGGAACCAACAAAAATTCAAATTAGATTTTTAATGTTGTTTCAAGACTATTTTTTAAACAAGACATAGCAATAGCAAGAAAAGAAAAACCACAATAACAGTATACAAACCAGTATACCACTGGTTTAAGATGGTTACGGTAAGGAAATCTCCAAATCTGGGACCATTTTATGATGAGATTTTATTCCTTTGAATAGAATCATAGAATAGAATCATAGAATGTTTAGGGTTGGCAGGGACCTCTAGAGATCATCTAGTCCAACCCCCCTGCACACGCAGGGTCACCTAGAGCACGTGGCACAGGACTGCGTCCAAGCGGGTTAGGAGACCTCCAGAGAAGGAGATTGTTCAGTTATTTTCATTCTCTTATCTGCAACATATTTTTCTTAGGGAACCGCATAATTTCTTAGGGAACTAAAATTGAAAAATTTTTAAATTTAAAAAAAAAAAGAGGGGAAACCAATCCTTTAGTTGATCAAATGCAAGATACTACTATTTTTTCTCCTTGTAAAAAGCCACTGAAAATCTTTAGCATTGGCATTTAAACAGCTATAATGTCCTAATTGTAGGCAAGCAAAGACAGAAGTACATTTTTACCACAGCATTAAAAAAAGCAAATGTATTTTTTCATGATACAATTGAAATATGCTCATTATAGGTTATTTTTAAGTTACTTATGAACAGAATAAAATATTCATGAGATGGACTGAAATCTCAAAGGCTGACTGAGATCAAGTACACAGTTTTGCTCCAACCCTCTTCCACTGTTTTACGTCCAGAAGGTCACAACTGCACTTCTGTTTTTTTCCTGATAGATTTATTTTCATCTGATAATTACTTCACAGTGATCTCCTCATGTGAACAACACAGTCTATTCTTCTGTGATCACAATCAGATCCTTCTGAATAATGTGAGAATTGGGAATTTTATCCCACAACATAACTTTCTGTCTGCTTGTGCTACGGGCCTTATTACAGTACTGGAAAATAAATCTGTATTTATTTGTTAATTCACACAACATACAAATTCTGGTAGTAAGAGTGCAAGCTTCCCAGTATTGTCCCACGTAACCCTGCTAAGGCTGGCTCCCCTCTCAAGAGGAAAGCAATTCAACGGCCCGGGCCTGTTCCACATATTATATTCCTCCTGCAGCTACTAACAAAATGCATAAATGCGTTATGACTGGTGGTTTTCATACACCTGATGACACGGAGCAAGTCTCTGATGACCAGCTCACTTTGAGCCTGTTTACTGTAATACTGAAATGACTTTTGATCCGGTCCGATTTCAAGTGACCACCTAGGGGTAAGAAATTCTGCAACATTAACATTTTTTCCATATATCTTACATTCCTGAAAATGTCAAACAATGTAAAAATACTCATTAACTACATGAAGTCTTTTTTTTTTTTTTTTTAATTCTTAACTTTAAGCACTTGGTTAGGAATTGAAGAGGGGTAGGTAAAGGTTCTCATATTCTTGAAAAAAATGATAAGCCCTACTTAATCCTTCTTACAATTCATTCCTTATATTGCAAGAAGCTCTTAAAAACATTCTTGTGGTCAGTTTCTAACTTCCTTCAGTTGCTTGTGTAGCTTTCTGAACAACAAGTTTCACAGGGGAAAGAAATAAAACTAAACTGATTACTGAAACTAAACTCAGTATTTCATTCAAACTCCAGAACTCTGACTGGAAAAGAAAACTTCCATACACACTGGGTTATTGTCATCCAAGCATGATGCAAGACTATGCTCTGATTTAAACAAACTCTAAAGAAATCTCAAGACTCAGCTATGCTTCCTACCAGCCTATTCTGAATGTGTTTTATTTAGCATCCCTACCTACTGCATGTTATATATACACATACATATACATATATATATACACACATATATAAAAAATAATAAACTATTATCCTACTACAAACTTCTGTAGCAATTTACAAACAAAGCACATTCCACTGCTTTAACATATCTAGTACGTAATTATTTCCAAGAGCTTTCAAATATTGCAAAATTATATTTATCAAAATTGATATTTATATCACTTGCAGCACTGCATGATAAAGAAGAAGCAGTTATGGCAGCTTGTGCAAAGTGTTTTTTAGAAGTCTGTATTAAACAATTCTTCTTTTAATCAAATGGCGGTTCTGTGTTTTATGCAATATAAAACAAAATCAATGGGTTTTAAAAAAATCAATTTTAATGAATGACTCTTAAAATACTGTTATCTCCACACATGAAATACAAGTAGCTGCTGTAAAGCTAAAAAGTTGCCACAATCAATCAGTTGTTATATCAGGCTTCGCTTATCAGCAATAAGTAAAATACAAAAACCAAAACTCGCTAGCATCTCTCAATATTAACTGCTGCTATCCTATTGGAAGTTGACACTGCACACATTCAAGTTTAGCCCAGCACTTCACAAAACAAGAATATTTAAAATATATATATATGTGTGTTTAAAAACAGCAAGTTGTAGATTCTTTCAAAAACATTTCCAAGATTCTTCCCAAAAGCTTATTTTCAGCTAGAATTCCACATACGAAATTTTTGAGGATATGAAAGTACATACCGTAAATATATCATCACTGCTTTCTCTTATTTGCATTAGTATTTCAGGTCTCTTATAAATGTGTGTCAGCTTTTGATTTTACAATTCATGGATGAGCTCTTCCCCAAACACGAGAATGACTGCACACATCTATAGCATTTCATGTAATTTGGTAATTATTTCCCTTTTTATTCAAACATAGACATTAAGCTAACTCAGGAAGACTGTATACAAGTAAAATATGCTAGATTCTTTTTTACCAGCACTATTGCAGAAGAGCCCATGCTCCACCTGTTTTTGTGTTTCATATTTCTGTATATAAAATACAGAATGGTCACCTGTTTCTCTTCTTCCGGTGCTCCCTGTTAGAATTTTCTGATTCGCTGCCACTGCTGGTGTTACAACGGGACCGAGATCTGTAGGGGAAAAAAGCAACGTAGTTCAGGAACTAAACATACAAATCATATTTGAGTTCATCTCTCCTGCTCTCTCTCTCTCTTCCAGGATCAATCTATCTATTAACATCTCTCAAAATATGAAACGGAAATGAGAAGCGCTCCTTGTTGGTTGTTCTCTTCTGTTAGAATATTACAGAAGTATCAAAATTCTAAAGAAATGAACAATACTGAGAAAACATTATTAGAAAAAACAGGGTTAAGAAAAAGCTTAGAGGGCTTGTCTAAATACGTCTTTCTCTCATCAATTAATTATGAATAACTGCTTTAGCATTACTCATCAGAAAGCACTGTCAGGTGAATGTTATTTTCCTTTTGATTCACTGCAGTTTTTGTTTATTTTTTTATTCAAGCTCTCAGGATTCTTTGCTATCATGCCACAGCGAAACACAGCTTTGACATGAGAAATGTTTTGCCTTTACTCTGTATCCGTTCTGCCATTTTCCCTATTCCACACAGTGGGGCACCCAATAGAACGCAGGCAGTGATTCTGCTATTGGCAAGCAAAAGCAAAGTGTTCGCTACACCTCCTTCTATTCACGTTGGCTTCCACCTGGCTCTGCAAATTCCTGTCATTTTCCAAGCGTCAGGCAGCGTGGAGGAAACAGAACCAGACACTGCGATTCTGCTGCCTTCGTCAGTGCAGAAAGGCTGAAGGGCGCAGCGGGACAGGCACCAGCACGGCTTTGGGATGACTCAAGGCAGAGCTACAGCGGCGGTGCATCACACGAGGGAGACGGAAACGAAGCACCGGCTCCTCCGCCACCTCTCACTGAGGAGCTTCAAATGGTAACGTGACATTTATAGCCCTGATTGTTTATTACTGAAAAAACAAGCTGATGCAAAGTAGAGAGACAACACTGACAGCTGAACTCCAAGAAGAAAATATCACCGTCTTTATAACGGATATGAGAATTCATCCGGCCACTGGAGTCATGGGGATACACCTACCTACAGGCAAGCTCCCCTCAGCACAGAGAAGTGCTTGGCAATTACTGGCTTAGAAGTTTTAAACACTTGTTTGCCACTGATTGACACTTTGGAGCACGCAGAAATCCAGAGAGAGAGTTCTAAAAAACAAGATTTTGTTACTGTATGTGGACTGGGTCCTAAGAAAATGGTCCTGTTTGAGAGGATCCCTGGGGCTTAACAAAGCTTGTTTCAGACTGTTCTTTACCTAATTTGATGATGGTTTCAGAGTGCCTCAAAAGAAAGGTACGTTTCTCTGCATTTGCCTGCAGTACAAAGTAGAAGCTTTGTTCTACAACGTCTGGGTATGAAATAAGAGAGAAAAGGAGATTACTCCTGTTGCCACTGACGGACACAGATGATCTTGTTCATCCTTTTTTTTTTTTTTTTTTCCCTTTGATGAGCCACTTGGAGAAGAGAGCCTACTTGTTAAAGTACCCTCCGATAAACTGAAGAGTGAAACCGCCCACGTGGAGTGCAAGTGTTTCATGCCGAGGCTGGATGCGCACCCCAAGGATGCAGTGCTCACCCCATGGATGCATGTGCTCAGCCTTGTGGTCTGAGCACTCAGGGAGAAGAGATCAAGGGACAAGGCGACAGATGAGAGAGAGACTCCCTAGGAAGCACAGTAGCCTCAAAGCTACTCAGTAGCCAAAGTTACTTCTTAAAAGCAACGCAGTCCTAAGTGTCCTTCTGTCAGAGCTGTCAGTCTCACGAATCTTCCTCTAGCAATGAAGAATTATGGTAAAATTTTACAAAAAATGCTGTCATTAAATGCCTCAGATTGGAGTCAAAAGCTCAGAATGGAAGATGGTCTCCTCTCTCTCCGAGGACATTGTCTAGGCACAATGGGAAATCATTCAGTCCAATAGCTCCCTTTCCAACAAGTACTTTAGACTAACAAGACAACGAAAGCCTAAGAAATTCAGTTCAAACCAGTTGGTCTGCAGGAAAAAGGCTTGGAAAAGCAAAATTTCTCCAAAGGAGAAGCAGACCTATCTCCTCCCTCCCCACCTACAATTTTACATGTTAAAAGCACTAGGAGGCTTAAGTTAGCCAATGTCCCAGGTAAAAATTTCTGAGTGAAGCTGAAAGCGTGAGTAACAGACATATGTTTCTAAAATTGTTATTCCAAAGGAAGAAGTAACAAAAGACAGTGTGCAAAGGATAGTGGCCCAGGTGTGTGCAAACAGTTTAGAGGGCAATGAACACACTGCAGCTGCAGCAGATCACATGCACTCCAAATCCTACCACTTGCCCAATAAGACATTTCCTACCAATCCCAACTCTCCATATCCCTAAGTCATCAAAGCAACACTGTTCTTTCACATTCCTCATGATTTCAAGTACTTTCTTGCTCTGTATTAAGCAATTAACCCCCAGAAGTATGAAAGCATGAAGAAGCACACACTGTGCCAGGAAAACGTCAAGATAAACATCCTTATTTGCTCAAATTCATGACAACTCCTCTTCTAGGTTTCCAGAAATTGACATCTGATCCACTTTTTATAATGTAAATCAAACTACATTGGGTTCCCTGTTGGGAAAGCACTTGCAGAGAGAGAGCAGGGCTGATGAGCTGTCAGCAGAGTGGCAGCTGCTCATGACAGCTGTCATTACATAGGCCTTTACCCATCAGCTTCTAGTGAACTGAATAAAACAATAAAAATGGAAATAAGGGCCACTCCTAAATTAAGTGCAAGAATGTAGAGGATTATCCTGATATCTGACGATTACATCCGTTCATTTTTTTTTTTCTCCTTCTTTCCAGATCATGCAATATATTTGAGACATTGAGGCTGATGCCTCTGTTTGGTCCAGCAAAAGGAGCAGAGGCACTGTCAGGCAAAAAAAGGAAGAACATGCACATAACACACTCCAGGACGGAGACCTATGGGCCTGGGAGGATGCAGGATCCGGTATTTTAGAGGAACAATTGACCCAGGGTTCAATCTTGTGATTAAAATCAAAAGAAGGTAGCCAAATCGCAGGGAGGTGAAGAGCGCCTATTCCATTACACAATTCCAAACACATCTTTGATGAAATGTAATACAGCAAACCGAGTTTTCAGGAAGAGGTCCTTTCCGAGTCCTAGGTTTTGCATCTGAGATGTCTAACTAAACCCTCTCTGCTTTGTGTTCTGGTCATCTGCCATGGGACTTTCACTGGAAAGTCTAACAGCAATATCCGTCGAAAAGTTTCTCTGTTGTCTTACAAAAGCTGAAAAGTACGTGAACTTTCTCCCTGACTTCCTGTGATTGTCCCCAAGATTTCTAAAACTGTGCCAGAGCTCCCTTCCTGCAGCAGTGCATCAGATTCTGGGAGTGTTTCCTCAGTTTTACAAGTTCCAACAGTTTCTCACACAAAAACGAACTGTACTGTCTCTTCCTTTCAGCGACAAGGGCAGGAAGACAAGAGCAGAGAGTAGCACTGCGAAAAGTCATTGCAATTGTAAGTGATGTTAGAGAACTACATGCTAGAAAAAACAATTTGCCAAAAGTTACATTATGAAAGTGCATCCTTAATTGCACACCAACATTTTATTTGGAAGTTGACACCAGTCAAGACTGCACAGAAAAAAGAAACTTAAATGTAGCAAAAATGTGTAAGATACACTAAGACTGTAAAAATTTAAATCGGAAAAAATATTCCTTTACACCTACCTTTTGTAAAAATTTAAATCGGAAAAAATATTCCTTTACACCTACCTTTTGCAGGATAGTTCATCTTATGCATCAATTTACTCACTTTCAAAACAGGTTGACTAAAGCAGAGTGACAGGTTAGAGAATTCAGAACAAAATCTTCAGTATTGCAGATGTAAAATCCAAAACCTCCAAGCTCAGGAACTGACTTCCAAGTTGGAGGAAAGCCTCCAGGAAGCTTCCACAAACTACTTACGGCATACTGTCATAGCAGTGTGCACCTTGTATGAATCTGGACTGTGATGAGGTTATGCTATAGAGCATTTTCGCAAAAGGAAGGCAGGAAAGAAAAACATTTATGGGTAGAACAGAGCAAGCCTTGTAATCATTCAGTGGGACTGGGAAGGAGGGAAGGAAGGGTGGGAACGCAGGGAACTAAAACCTTTGTTATCATTTCATCACTACTATGGATTATGTATTTACCTTCTCCTTTGCTTTAAATCTGAATCTTCACCACTGTTTTGGGCTTTCCTACGACAGTAAGGAAGTTTTAATGAAATACCATTGGGTCACTTAACACAAATACAGAAAAGCACCCATCTGTTTCAACAAATCCTTCACACAGACTACTTTTCAGTAGGATTTAAGGCAGATAAAAGAGAGGCACTCTCCTGTTTTAAACTTTGCAGACCATCTTCACAATAAGCTGCAAAGGTATGGTCCCATTCAAGCTCTCATTACAAACCCCAGACGTGCAAGGCTGAACACAGTAATCTGGTATTTAGAGCTTCCTACTGTTCCAGCATAGCAAAGCCAGATATTTTCCTCTTAATTCCAGTAAAGATCACATAAAGAACATGGCTATTGTTAAACAGATGGGAAAGAAAAGTTCGTGAACAAAACCTGCGATTCAGGAAGACATTAATTAGGTAAATATCTACTTGCTATTGTCAGTTTTCACAGTCTCATATATGAGATAAGACTTAAAAAATATATATATTTTGGTGGTGTTGTGACCCAAGAGAAAACTTGTTATTGGCATAACCACTTATCTACCTAGTAGGTGAGCCAAATGAAAATCCCAGATGACAAACACTTTGCATCTCAAAAAATACCCTCTTGTACGGTACACAAACATTATTCTTTTAACGATACAAGATGGGGGTTTTTTGCACTGCGCATCTATATTCCTTTGTTTTTGCAAAGCCCAGCAAATCCTTCTGACAACCAAGCTAGAAATGAATCAGAAAATCCATTTCAGGAAACACGTTGCTATTAACATTCATAAGCACTATGTCTAATAAAGCAAATTAACATTGCTGCATTGGCTTAAAGAGACCTGTAAAAGAATACTATAAACATTGCCTACTTTTCATTGCAAACCATAGCACCGGGATACCTTAGCTAGCTCAGATGACGAAAGCAGTTTCTCAGCAAGACAAACCATCCCAGGTAAGATGCAGCCCCTCAAAACTGTATCACTTCAAGACCTGAATTGTTCCTGTAATTTGTATTTTGGCCATACTTCAGAAGACACATCACAGAATCTCCATGTCACTTCTTTAAGTTACTCAATTCAGCAACTACTCATTAAAAACACATTAAGTAATCGTAGTTTTATTTTTATTGGCATGCTCTCTAATGTAAAGTAATTCACATGTCGGACTGTTGAAAACAGCTTAATGGCTCACATGGTTATTCCGTGCTGTACTTAAAAGGCAAGGCAATATACCTAAGGCAAAATACTGTTCTGTATCAGAAGCTCATGTCAAATAATCCTCAATCCTCTGCTTTACAAGTTTAGTTGTTGCAGCAACTAGAAGGATCTTGCAAGTGCAAATACTGCAAGTCCTTGGATTTGCACTATTTTTTTCTTGATATCAAGAACAGCAAAAAGGCCAAAAGCCTGACTGATGCTTCCTTTCCAAAAGCACATCTGGCATTTCATTATTCTTGTTCTGTACTGACATTTGACCCCCAGAGTACTGATTTTCCCAGGACCCAGCTGTGTCTCCACCCAAGAGCCTTGACTGAATGCAGGGCATGCAGCATCACAACAAGATTTCTACGTAAGGAGAAGGTAACACTGCTAAATCTCACGTTCTTACCTCCTCCGGACCGGCTGCCCAGACTCATTTTCACTGCCACATGACGGGTTCCGTCGCCGAGAGTAAGGAAACTTTGGTGATTTATTGCGGTCACTGGGAGAATTATACAGCCCACTAGAATTATAAAAGAAGAACAAAAAAACTTCCAGGAAAGTTAAGTCAGCTAACCCACATTCAGTCTACAGTCTAACTCAGTCTAGTAAGAAGAGACACAAGTATACATGCACACACACACACACGTGTATATATATATATATGTATATACATACACACACATATATACACACGCACATACAGTATATATCAACATGTGTGCATTATACAGAAACAGGCAGCATTGCTTTCCAGGAGTAAATATTTACACTTAACCTTGAAAACATAGGATTGAGTCCACCTACAGAGCACTGACACCACAGCTCTCATCTTACAAAATGTACAACCAACTAGACATTCAAATGTACCTATACTCCTTATGTACTTTTTCCAGCAATAGAGACACTAAAACAGAGTAAATTCCCTGAGGTGTTTCCTCACCACAACACTAAAACTCAGGATCCTGAAACAATTTTACCGTTAACTCTCTACTGCTGATCTATATAATCCTTGACATAGGCATGTAACTATTTCAAACTTCAGGTTATGTATTTAAGCCTTCAAGCTACGCACTTGTGCGGGACCCAAGGCTGTAAAAGGGTTAGACATAAGACTGTACTGCTGGCTAAGAAGCGCTTGTAAGAATTGCCCTGTAGTGCCTTCGTACTGAAATCTAAGGAACGATTCCAGTTGTTTACTAGAGTCCACGGTAGAGTACAAATTACTCCAATTACTCCAATAATTGTAGTTATTTGGATGAAGTATGCTAAGGTCATCTTCATCTAATGTTACTTGGTTCTTTTTACGACAGCTATGTAGTAGTAAATACAATATTCCCACCAAATTCCAGGTAAGGTATTTCTTCCTGTTTTCCTAAACGCTCTAGTCTTTAAGTTAGATACACTGCGCAGGCTGCTCATGACAACACTGCTCTGCTCAGTTAAGCTGCCACAGCCCTCAAAGTGAATGCATTTTAGAACTAGAAAATCTTCATTAAAAGCTGCAAAATCCTCCGCAGCATACAGTCTTTCTCATGTTTCCAAATCTGCATAGTCCTTTAGAATAGAATTTGCAAAAATTCACTCATTCTCTTAGCTGTTAGTTCTTGGAATAGAAGGAAATTTACATGCTATTTCAACTCTGAAGTTTAAATGTGACAAGCTGACATTGCTTCTTCCCTCAACATCAAATAAACATCCACCTTAGCCAAAGAACATTGACTCACTGCTTTGCTCTTATTCCGAAAGCTCTTGAGATTTACAGTAGGAGCACAGTAAATCATCACAGTGCCCATAAGGGTATAGGGACTTCAGCAAAAAAACGACAGGTAGCACACTATGCATAGGCATGTATCATCACACAGAAGTCATACTGATTATACTGAATCAGGCGGGAAATGTGTATTAGAGATCCACCAATATTCTCTCAGTCCCCAGCTATGTCCATCCCTGTGCTGTTCCTCACGTACAGAAGCCCTCAGTGGATTTTTGGTGCTTCGGTTTCTGGCCATTACCTCTAGTTCTGTCGGTGGCCACCAGCTAAAAGAGGCCTACACCATCCTCCTCACTCCCTCCCTTGAGGTACTTATAGACACTGATCAGGTCCCCTCTCAGCCTTCTCTTCTCCAGGCTGAACAGGCCCAGCTCCCCCAGTCTCTCCTCACAGGGCAGATGTTCGAGGCCTCTAGTAATCCTTGTGGCCCTGCGCTGGACTCTCTCCAGCAGCTCCACATCCCTCTTGTACTGTGGAGCCCAGAACTGGACACAATACTCCAGATGTGGCCTCACCAGGGCTGAGTAGAGGGGCAGGATCACCTCCCTCGATCTGCTGGCGACGCTCTTCTTAATGCACCCCAGGATCCCATTGGCCTTCTTGGCCACGAGGGCACACTGCTGCCTCATGATCAACTTGTCATCCACCATGACACCCAGGTCTTTCTCCGCAGAGCTGCTCTCCACAAGCTCGGTCCCCAGCCTGTACTGGTGTCTGGGGTTATTCCTCCCCAGGTGCAGAACCTTGCACTTGGCCTTGTTGAATTGCATGAGGTTTTTCACCGCCCAGTTGTCCAGTCGGTCCAGGTCCCTCTGGATGGCAGCACAGAGAGAGAGAAAGAGAAAAAGAGAAAAAGAAAGAGAGAGAGAGAAAGAGAGAGAGAAAAAGAGAGAGAGAGAGAGAGAGAAAAAAAAAAGAAAGAAAGAGAGAGAGAGAACAGTGAAACCAGTTCACACTTCATTAACCACTTGAGTTGATATAGATATGTAAATGCCCAGCTCTGAACTGTAGTGCTGGTCTGTAAATGAATATTTGGGCTTTCACTAAAGGTATGAGGAGTAACAAAAGTCCTTTGCTCATTTGAGATTTCTATCTTTATCCTGATCTCCTGCAGTGTAGGAAAGCTGAATATAAATTATCTTGGTCATGATAGATTGTGATGCATGGTAGCCTCAGGCTGTACCTTTGTTGCCCATTAATGCTAAATATGCTGCAGTGGAATTAATTTACCTTGTTTATTTTGTTTTGCTTTTCTTTCTCACCAAAGACTTTCTAACAAATTCTTGCTAGCTAGTTATAAATGAATTCATGTCCACTTCTCAACATCCCCGGTCCCTAACATCAGATGAACAGGAAGAGGTGATTTTTACCTGAGGAACTTGAAGAAAATGGAAAAAAAAATGCAGAATTTAACCTGATAACAGGAAGAAACTGCTTTCATATTTTTATTGTTAACAAGATGTCCTTCAAGACTTCCACAGGATGCAGTTTCTTATTGAGCGGGTTATCCAATGAAAGGTAGACCATAATAAATCAACTTCGATGTTTCTTCCTTGCATGGCAACTGGCACAGATTTCTCCATTGTTTTCATGGAACTGGCTGAGCTGATTGCACTAAGCTGGAGGAACTGGCTCTTTCAAAACATGCCAGCTGAGGGAGGGGGAATGAAGCATTTATAGCTAAGATTCTCATGCAACTCCATGGGGAGACTCATTCAGCTCTCACATGGGGAGAATGTAAGCAGATTAAATGAAGTTTCTAGCAAGCTTGCTGGGTAAAAATATCACTCTCTCTCACAATATTTCAGTTGAGATTCTCCAAAGTCTGGGGGTGTCCAGGAGCATATTCATGTTTGGAAGGCCTATCTGACTAAAATGAGAACCTACTGCACACTAGTAGGGAGTGGAGGGTCTTTACTGAGTACCGTCAATATTTCTTGTATATTTACACCTCAGAACTTCTTACAATTGAGGCTCTCAGGCTAGAAATCAGAGACCTAAATGACTGCTTAAATACAGAAAGAGTTTTTATATAGTTCTTCACCCATGTCTCTGACCTGCATGCTCAATAAATTCCTTTCCATTTTCAAGATGGCTTTCTAAGAGAACTATAAGCATGAGAAGCACACGTAAGATATTGTAGCCCTGTAACTTCAGCAGATGGAGCTACTCTTTCTGGTTTAAAAAAAAAAA